ATGTTCGACGAGGGAGATGAGATACATATCAGTGAGTGGGGAGAGGGGGGTGGGAGAGGGGAGGAGGGAAGGAGGGAGGGAGGGAGGGAAAGGAAGGGTAGGAAGGGGAGGAGAGAGGGATGGAGGGGAGGATGGAGAAAAGGGGGAGGGGGAAGGGGAGGGGGAAGGGGAGAGAGAAAGAAAGAGATGAAGGAAAAGAGAGAGAGGGAGACAGACAAAGAGAGAAAGAGGGGGAGGGAGGGAGGGAGAGAATGAGAGAGAGAGTTAGAGAATGAGAGAGAGAGTTAGAGAATGAGAGAGAGAGTTAGAGAATGAGAGAGAGAGAGAGAGAGAGAGAGAGAGAGAGAGAGAGAAAGAGAGAGAGAGAGAGAGAGAGAGAGAGAGAGAGAGTTAGAGCGAGAGAGTTAGAGCGAGAGAGTTAAAGAGAGAGAGTTAAACAGAGTGAAAGTTAGAGAAAGAACGAAAGTAAGAGAAATCAAGAGTGAGAGTGAGAATGAGAGAGTGATTGATTGAGTGAGAGAGAGTTTCCAGGGATCTGAACACCGTGTTTTCATATGCTGTGCCCGACGAGGGAGATGAGGTACATATCTGTGAGTTAGGAGAAGAAGAAGAAGATGGAGAGAGGGAAGGAAGGAAGGAAGGATAAGGTAGTAAAGGGAGGGAGGAGAGAAGGAGAAAGAGAGAGAGCTAGAGGGGGAGGGGATAGAAAGCAAGGAGAGGGAGGGGGAGGGGATAGAAAGCAAGGAGAGGGAGGGGGAGAGAGAGAGAGAGAGAGAGAGAGAGAGAGAGAGAGAGAGAGAGAGAGAGAGAGAGAGAGAGAGAGAGAGAGAGAGAGAGAGAGAGAGTGAGGGAGGGAGAGACAGAGAATAATAGAGAAAGTTGAAGATTGAGAAAGATAGAGAGAAAGAGAAAAAGAAGGAAAGAGAAAGGAGAGAAAGAAGTAAAGAGAGAAAGAGAAAGAAGGAAAGAGAGAAAGAGAAAAAAAGAGAGACGAAAAGAGAGAAATGGCGGGAGATAGAGAGAAAGAGTAGGAGAGAGAGGGAGAGAAAGAGAAGGAGAAAGAGAAAGAGAAAGAGATGAATAGAGAAAGAGTAATATAATTAGTCTTTCTCAACATATGAAATAGATGATTTCCCCATGACCTCTCATGCAAAAAATATCTGTTATCGATTTGCTTCTGCGAATACCTTCTCACCCCAGCCATGAAAACACCATACGTATTATATATATATATATATATATATATATATATATAGAGAGAGAGAGAGAGAGAGAGAGAGAGAGAGAGAGAGAGAGAGAGAGAGAGAGAGAGAGAGAGAGAGAAGAGAGAGAAAGAGAGAGAGAATGAGAAAGAGAAAGAGAAAGAGAGAGAGAGAGATTTCATTCTGATATCTGCATTTTATCCATTAACCATCATCTCTCCTTCCTCAGGCCTCAACTACCGCCTCAACAAGCTGGTTTTCTTCTGCTGCAACGGCCTGTGGGAGCTCGAGGTGGACATCCCCCTGGGTCTTCGCGAGTGGATTGACATCTGCATGGCGGTGGACCTCCCCGAGCAGCGGTGGATGGTTGTGAAGAACGGGCAGGTCCAGCAGGGGAACAAGGCCATCAGCACCTTCGCCAGCGTCATGATCCGCAAGGGGGGGACACTGGTCATCGGCCAGGATCAGGACGTTCCGGGCGGAGGCTTCAACTCCTTCGAGAGTCTGTCGGGCAGGCTGGTGGATCTCCGGATTTATGACTCGCTGTTGACCCAGGACGTGATGGTGAGCTACACCAAGTGCGAGCTGATGGAGTACGACGCAAAGCCCCTCGTGGACTTCAGCAACATCCACAGGGACTTCGATCTCGTCAACGTCACCACGGACTCCATCGTGGCCGATAAGACGTGTGACACCATGAGGGACTTCGATCTCATCTTCCCCGAGCTTCGCGTCTTCAACGAGGGGGAGCTCCTGTGCCGTATCGTCGGGGGGACCATCACAGTGCCCAAGAGCGCCACCGACAACGAGGAGCTGTTCAACGCGTCGCTTCCCTACGCCGTGGACTGCGGCGACGGCTACGCGGAGACGCTCTGGCTCGGGGTCTTGGGCAACGTGGAAACGCAGTCGTGGCAACACTACCTGGACGGGTCTCCCATCGGCTACAGCAAGTTCGACGAGAGGAACGGCCTGCCTATCACGGAGCGCGACACCTGCATGGCCTTCATCGGGAGCCTGGAGACCACCGAGGAGGAGTTCGGGCTGTGGGTGCCTAGCAACTGCCACCTGGAGATGTGCCCCGTGTGCCACTTCGACCAGGTGGGCCTCATCCGGATGCGCGGCCTCTGCATCCAGTCGGAGTTCGACCGCGACTACTTCCTCACCCACGACCAGGGCTCGCTCTCCTTCACGGGCGTCTACTACACCAAGATCACCAAGAAGCCGCCCGACAGGGCGGTCACCAACTCCACCTTCGGCTACTGGATGTTGACGCGCTTCGACAAGCCCGACGTGACGGC